TGCTCTTAATGAGTTTGTGGGCTGGTCGGAGTCATACATACGTACTGAAATACCACCAGAGAGTGTACAACCACAGATAGTGAGGAGCAAAACTCTCAAGTCTGCAAATAGCAGATTCTAAGTTTTATTTTATTTTATTTTATTTTATTTTATTTTATTTTATTTTTAAATATATGAAATTTATTGTCAAATTGGTTTCCATACAACACCCGGTGCTCATCCCAAAAGACGCCCTGATTCTAAGTTTTAAACTAGCAACTGGAACATAAGCACTGCTTTCAAATGTGGTGCCAGCCCCATGGTCTTGGTGGTGAAGGGTCCTATTTAAATTTGGGGACTGGAAAACCATCTGGATGGATACCACGTCAACCCTGACAGAACAGAAGATAAGGATACCCTGGGCTCTGGATATAATAGACAGAGACAGCCAAAAATCATTATTAAATTGAATTTTGGGGAAGTGGAAAGGAAGAAATGAAATGCTAAGTCTAAATAAAGAGTATCTGCTAAAGAGAAAGATTTTCTATTAACATCAACTTAGAGAACTATTCATACGGCTAGCGAAGTGATGGATATTATGTCACATGGTTGACACCCATGGTTTTGTCTCAGAAAAGTAACTGGAAAAGAATCCACAAGACTCTGCCCAGCCCTCAGTCTACTAACCACCTTTCAGTGTCAGCAAACTCAAGAAGCCAGCTGACCCTTCATGTTCTTGCACTTTGCAAAATTTCCTCTGAAATTTAAATTAAAACGAGTTCTTCACTAATGAGCCTTATTTTCATCTATACAGCCATTTAAATATGCCACTTATTTTCTATCTGCCATGAGATTGGGAAACAAGGTATTATTGAACACACACACCAAAGCTAATCCTAGGAATTTCCAAAATCAAAGACTATACTTAGAACATGTTTTACATCAGGGAAACTTGAGAGTAAGTTCTAGAGAGTCTACTTTCCAGATGGTCTGGTCCTCTGATAACTGAAATGATTAAGGCCTGAACATTCACTGAATTGCTTGAAATAAGAGTCTAGCCTTTAGCTAATAGGTTCTGTCAGTTAGTCTCCTGAGTTAATCCAAAGCAAGTTATTGGTTAAACTTCTCCTTCTAGCAGGCTGGTTGCCATTAAGCAGAAAAGTAATTCTATTAATGGAAAAATCAGTGTCTAACACATTCTCTAAGACTTGACTCAAATGTCACCTCCGTTACTGCCTCCCTGGTCATTATACATGGCTCTTTTGGAGCCTTTGTCACATTGAATGGAAACTGTTTCTAGTGCCCATCTGCTCTTCTAACCTGTGAACTCCTCAAGGTCAAGGACAGGGGCATAGGCAATTTTGTGACATAATACCTGATACATGGTAGGCATTGTCAAACATGGAGGAAAAGCACAGAAATACAATCGGAGAGACAAGTGGCCCAGAGCAATAACAAAATCGCACAGCTTCCACAGTCATACACAAAGAGAAAGGCAATGAAAGCCGCTGGGTTTACAGTGACATGTTAGGTAGGCTGCTGAAGGAGCTGAATGTCAACCAAGGACCTGAGCAGGAGCGCCTATGCTTTCTCCCTGCAGCCTATCCCTTCTCTTTGAAGGTGATTTTCCTTCGCAAAATTTCCCCTTGGGTCTAGCTCACCGGTCAAAGGGATGAAGCAACCCCAGAAGTTGAGTGCGTTGTCTAAGGCAGGTCCCAGGCTCCCACCCAAATAATATATATGTGGCTGGGGTTTGAGGTCCTTGCTGTTGTTTTTGTTTGTTGAGTTTTAATGGAGAGTGGAGAGGAAGGGATCTTAAAGGCAAAGGTGCCTGTGAAATGAACGTCACAGGCTCTGCATGGGGCACACGTCTGAGGAGTAAACCTAGTTGCACAATCCCCTCAAGATACACCATGAAGTTGCATCACCCCGATTATGTAAGCCTTTATCAAAGCAGCAAGGAGAGGGGTTAAATTCTACAACCAAACAGGAGTTCAGATGAAAATTTTATAACTTTTTGACTTTGATGCTTTTCAAAGGAAATTTTTATCTTTGTTTTATATCCCTGGGGGTTGTTTTTAAAAATATGATTTTTTTAAAAAATTGTTTTTCAAGCTTATTTATTTATTTTGAGAGAGAGAGAGAGAGGGAGAGAGAGGGAGAGAGAGGGAGCATGAGTAAGGTAGGGACAGAGAGAAAGAGAGAGAGAATTCCAAGCAGGCTCCACACTGTCAGCACAAAGCCCAATGTGGGGCTTGAACTCATGAACCGTGAGATTATGACCTGAGCCAAAATCAAGAGTCAGATGCTTAACCAACTCAGCCACTCAGGCGCCCCTAAAAACGTGATATTTAAAGCAATCTTTTAGATTAGATATAATAAAGAATGTCAGAAATATTACACAATGTTTTGATTTCTAACTTTAGTCTTCATGTCAGTAAACTTAAATTCTTAATTCCATAAGCAGACACTTGTGAAAAACTTTTCTTCATTTGTTAATCAGGAATCACCAAATTTTTGAGCTCAAAGGGACCTCATCAGTTGACTGATCTAATATACACACCTGAACTCTCTCCTTGCTATGCAAAAGTAGGAAGACTCAAGTCAAGAACCAACCTGTGTACTGACATAAATCCAAAAAACAGGATTTGATTACATGTTACTGAGAGGTAGCATTTCCCAAAACATATTTCAAATAAAACTAGACTTTGGAGATAACATTTTTAAAGGATTCTGCGGTCAAACAAGTTTTACAAGTACAGGTTTAAAAAGGTTTTTTTTCTTTGTATTTGATTTGAAACTATCAGGCTTCTCAGAACATTTAAGATACCCATATAAACATCAAGAACATCCAAGAAGGAAGCAAAGCGTGCAATATAAAGTGCACCAAAACTCCCTTTTCCCCCTAGAAATATCCATTGTGTCATAGGATGTGTTCCCAGCTTACTGTAGTGAGCACAGCTTAGGAAAAGGAGCTATACAGTTTTCAGCTGCAGTGAACATCTGAAATTTGTAGTAGCTATTGGCTTCTATTCATAGAGGTGGAATATCAATTTGACCTTGAGCTTCCTAGCAGCCAGTGCGACAAGCATTAATCACATGATCAATGATCACATAAAACGTTCACGACGTTCATCAGATGAAAACAAACAGTTGTTCCAGAAGTGCCAGCTGTTCCCGGTACTTAGAACTGAATGGTATGGCCACTCGAGTGTTTTCATAAAGAGACCAGGAGGACGCTTCAGCTACATCTCCTTTAGTGCACAAAATACAGTTTTATGGGCAATCTTATAACATCTTTTTATGGAGACCAATGGCACATTGCCACAGGGTAGTTCAGGAGAAGTAGCTTCACAAGCAGTCATACCATGTTTTACGTGATCATAGCTCTTAATTTAAGTCTAACTTAACCCAAGACTCTAAATCCCATTCTTCGATCAACCAACTATGCCCGCCTCCAAAGGTGAGTCCTTTGCCTAAGCTGGGTTTGAACTAGATGGTTCCTCAAGTCCAGCTTCAAAGTTCGAGAGGTCGGTAAGTTTTATTACTTTGCTTTTCACAAAAAAGTCAAGCTTTCAGTCCCCTTGAATTCATCCTTGGAGGTATCTGTACCTTAAGTCGCTTACATTCATAGGGCATATGTGGAACACATCACTAAAACTTTAAGCCCTGGTAATGTGTCAGAAATTTGGAAAAACCAAAACAAAAAGGGAGAAACTGAGAACAGAAGTGGAAAAGTGCCAAAAATAATCTTAGCTGCTTGAGCATTTTGCTTTAAATCAACCTTTAGTTCTTTAGGACACTTTGTTAATGATGGCAGTAGTAGTCATTTGCTCTAAATAATTTGTTCTAAACGAGCCTGTAGTTTCTTAGGAAATAGTAGTAGCAGCAACAGAAGCTTCAACAGCAAACAACTTACTTGGCCCTTCCAACCTACGAAGCCCTGTGTTATGTACAATTACTCTTTGAATGCTCACAATAACTCAAAGAAGTAGATACCATTACTAAACAATTTACAAATGAAGAAACCATGACTCTGAGGGCTTGAATAACGTGCCTCAAGTGCTGTGAGTAGGAGCAGCAGGTCCAGAATTCAAGCCGGCTCTGGATCTGAGGTTTAACCAACACCCTCTACTGCTTCTGGGCCCCTGAGGTCAGAGACCGCTGACAGTCTGAGAGGTGGTCTCACTCTGGCTACATACTGCACATTAGAGCCCCCCTCCTCTTAAAATACGACGTGGTTGGAGAGAAGATATGGGACTTTCTAAGAAAAGCAGCTCCTTAAGTACAGGGAATAATAAAGGTTTTTTTTTTTTTTTAATTAATTTTTTTTTCAACGTTTTATTTATTTTTGGGACAGAGAGAGACAGAGCATGAACGGGGGAGGGGCAGAGAGAGAGGGAGACACAGAATCGGAAACAGGCTCCAGGCTCCGAGCCATCAGCCCAGAGCCTGACGCGGGGCTCGAACTCACGGACCGCGAGATCATGATCTGGCTGAAGTCGGACGCTTAACCGACTGCGCCACCCAGACGCCCCAATAATAAAGGTTTTAATGATCAATGATTATTGCCCACGTAACAATTACCTGGAAAACAATCCTCCAGTTCTCTTGGAAAACTGAAGGTGGTTTCCCCTGTGATGACACACAGTCATTGACTTCTTGGGGAAAACCTGAACAAAGAGATCACCCTAAAAGTCCACAGAGTACGGATTGTAAAGGGGTGGGAAGGCAAACTCTCCCGGGGAACAAAGGAAAGTCCTGGTTCCGCTCTCAAATGTCCATCTTCTGCATAGACCCCAGGTCCCCAGGCTGGCTTCCTCCCGCTTGACATGAAACGCTACATATGGTCTTTGTTCCAATATCTCCTCTTCCTCCTAGTCCCTCCCCCCTCCCACATCCCAGCCCTCTCCTGTTTGGAGATGTAGGAGAGGAATGCATTTGAAGCAGTCTAGCACCACTCTAACATATAATCACATGTAATCACACATCCAGGAACAACGTCTCATACTTGTAATTAC